TGAAGCACATGAGTAGCGTCACGAATAATAGAAGGATGGCTGGAGGACACTCGGTCGTACATCGAACGAAACTGCTCCAACTCTTCCTGTTCACGGTCGGCCGTTTGATTGTCTGCATGCTCACCAATAACAAGCGTCCTCCAGAATGAATGGACCTGATCAACATGTAACGACGCCCTTTCTTCTGTAATAACGCGATGAATGGTGCATGCGCAAGGTAATCCATGAGTTACTGAAATAGTACACCCACACCGAGTATACACTTCGTCAGCCAAGTCCCTCACCCTGTTCAGCTCAGTGAGAATCAACCCCAAGCAGTAGTGCGACACACGACCATGGAGAATCTTAAATATAAAATGGCTATACATCGTACCATGTCGTCGTCTGGAGTCCTCTAGAGAGTTCCTGATGTCGTTCTTCTGAGTTTCAATTGACTTGTTCAGTCTAGCGAACAGTGTATCTAAAGCAGCGGTCGATGAATCAATCCCGTCCTTGGTAGCTCTATGAGCGCTCTTAACTCTACATGTTGTAGTGTTCCCAAAATGAAGTACCTGGTTTGTCCAATATTTGACAAACTTTTCCCTATGAGGGACCCATTGATGCATCACATAGTCCACCAGTGCCGGACACCACTGGTACGAATCCCTGAAGTTAGCCAATGCTCGCTCATACGCTTTCTCTGTGGTAGCCTGTAGGATCTTCCGCCACTTACCATTCACCAATCTCTCTGCCATTTCCAAATTCTTCTTGAAAAGGTTGTAAGCTTTCACTTTCACGCAGTTGTTGATGTGCCATGTGCACAATAAGTGGTTCGATTCGGGAAACAGCTCTGCTATGGGGGCAAAGAGACCTCCCTCACAGTCGCTGACGATGGCTGTTGGATGAACATTAGGCCCGATGTAGTTTCTCAGCTTCTCCAACACCCAATAATAACTTGGAGCCGTCTCATCCCTGATGATTGCATGACCAATCAGAAAGTTCTGATTCGTTGGAGCCATCCCAACCATCTCAACCAGAGGGAACTTGTACTTGTTTGTCTTGTACGTTGAGTCGATCAAAATCACAAATGGCCAAGACTTGATCATATCAGCACAATCAGGATGCACAAGGAAAAGATGAGTCACCTCCGCTGTATCTTCATCAGAATCAAACCAGAACAGGTAACCACGTGATTGTGCCTGGTGTAGCAGCTGCTGTATAGGGTTCCTTCCCTCTGACCGTTCAAACCTGAGTTGCTGTCTGACGTTGTAGATGTGTCTTCGGTTTGGATGGTCTTCTGAAAATTTCTCTAACACAGATGCTAATATTTTAGCAGGCTTCACTTGAGCATCACTCATTTCTTTCACAACTAGTTTCGCAGCAGGATTTAAGCCGCTCAGTTGTCAATGACCCTCTTCATATACTATCATCTCATGGTTGTGATACCCCCATTTAGAGTAACCTATCACTTCCCAACCGTCACGACTCCGTAGTTGTCGAACCTTTACTCTGAACTCACACCCACAACCTTTCCGCTTTGTGTCAAACCGAGTGGCTGTACGAAAATCTCTTTCTTCTCTTTTGCGATAACGGTCACATCTCAAAATGCGATCCATTCTACCATCCCGTTGAGATTTATGAGTTGCTACTACCAAGCAAAATCCAGCTGCAATTGCAACCTGTTTTGCCCAATCAATCGCCTGTTGAGCTTCTTCGAATGGACCATCATGTCCAAATATCTCACTGTAATCATTTCCGTCTCCACCATATTCCTGCATCAATCATATATTACAATAAATACATTTAACGGATAATACATTTAATTTCTATATTTCCACATAATTAACACAAAAAAAAAAACATAATTATATATAATCAAACTTAATTTTTATAAAAACCCAATTCGAATTTTCAAACTAAATTTAAAAATATACCATTTCGAATTTTCAAATTTAATTTTAAAAAAACCTATTTTGAATTTTCAAATTTAATTTACAAAAAACCCATTTCGAATTTTTTTAAAAAATCATTTTCGATTTTTTATTTTCACAAAAAAATTAAATAAAAAACAACAACAAAATCAAAAAGGAAAAATATAAATTTATTATTAAAGGTGGCGTCTGCCAGGGCTGCCACACCCACTGCGCCACACCCACTGGACTGGCGCCTGGCAGGGCCGCCTCACCCAGTGGAGTGGCGTCTGCCCAGGACGCCAGTCTGGTGGTCTGGGCGTCTGGGCTGGACGCCACTCTGGTGGTCTGGGCGTCTAGCCTGGACGCCACTCTGGTGGTTCTGGCGTCCGGCTTGGACGTCCAGGCTACGGTTTGGGCGTCCACCCTAGGCGCCGTAGCCACTACGAAGGTAAACCGTGAATTTTAGCGGTCACTTACCTCGTTTTCCGTCGACGACGACGTACCTTCGGCGTCCTCCGCATCTCCGGCCTGCCATCCGGTCTCCCCCGACGAGCCAATACGGCTCCACATTTTTTACACCGAGATTATCTCAATTTTAGCAAAAGGGCATAATGGTCAAATCATAACATATTTGTGGGCTTTATATGGTAATTTGTGGGCGATGTTTAGCGTTTCACATGGTGGAGTCGTTAGTTTTTGTTAGTTTAGATGTTTTTCGTTAGGGTTTATTTGTATATCAAGGCTTATCAAAAAAGTAATCATCCTTTGCCCAATTATCAGTTTGTTGGTAAACATTTGTTCGGGATCGCAACGGTTGTCGAATTCTCAAATGCGTTCAAGCGAATCATATAATAATCATTCTTACGGCTACAACAAATCGTTAGACAGTCTCTCCAAAAAGGTTGTATTTTTCAACGATGTGTGCGAGGGATGTACCACAGTGCAAGATATTTTCAACGATCGTAGTTTTGATGAAGAAACCTTTATTTGATTCTATTTTATGTATTTGTTAATTTAGATTTCATTTGTAGATGCCAGATGGCTTTTTACTAATTAATTGATTTTGTTCTTATTGTTGGCGGTACCTTGGAGCCAGGTTCCTTCCTGTTGGCCCTTCTTTATTTGCTTTGAGACTCTAGTTAGTCTATGTACTACAAGGAATTGCAAATGCTAAACTGTTATAACCGAGCCCTTAATTAGTAATTACCAAACTAAATATCTTTAGCTCAGCCTTGGCTTCAAATATTTGGTTATAAAATACGATCCGACTCTAATATTTCGTAGTGACTTAATAACCTAGAGTCTTGGATAAGGCTTCATTTCATATAATAAATGATCATTATATGCATGTGAGAAAAAAGCAAATAATTGAACTTATGAACATAATCGAAAGTATAGGTGGATGTAGTATGAAGGTTATGAAGCTAAGGAAAGTAGTTCAATGATCAAATATGAAGATTTCTTGTATGTAGAATGATATACTCTTTAAGCAATAGAGCTTCCACACTTGCAACAATAATTTCACTCGAATGCTAACTCATAAAATCATATCTGATCATTGAACTACTTGTGTTTAAGCATGTGCATAAGCCCTATACTCTTCTTGACCATCAATTCTTCATTATAAAGGTGGAAAAAAACATAATTCTATACTATCTATCACCATTATTTTATTTGAATATGAAACCTCATTTAAGCTCCGTATGCAAAGACTGAGCTTTCTTCCTTGCTCCTTTATTGAAATAACAACATGCATGCATGCATTTGTTTTAGAGACTAAATGCATAATATTTTTAACGGCTATTTCACCAAATGTCACTAAGTAATTTCATTTTTTTACCAAATGCATCAAGTTTTTCAAAATTCACCAAATGCCATTGAGGTTTAGTACAATATCACCAAATGTCATTTCGTTAGTTAACCGTCAGTGACCGTTAGTTGACCGGTAGTTGACCCTACCACTTGCCATGTGTCAACTTCTGATTGGTCTTTTTTTTTAAATAATAAAGAAATTAAAAAAAAACCAAAAAAAATTAAAAAATTAAAAAAAAAAAAAAGATGAGGAAAGAGATATTTGGAACATATGTCCTTCCTCCACAATCTCACCCTCCGGTCAGCCTCCTTTCTTCCCCCTCCACGATTTCCAGCCCCCCTTCCTCCACAATCTCCGGCAACCGTCGCCTCACTCCGACCACCTTCTCATTCCGGCGACCTTCAACATTTTCCTGCTCGCGTCTCTCTCTCTCTCAATTCTCCATTGTAGCGCTTCCCCCTCCACAATTTCGAGCCCCCCTTCCTCCACAATCGCCGGAGATTCCTTTGGTTCATCGGAGAAATCCGCTTGGTGGGTTGTTGCTCATGAATCATTCCCCTTCTCCTCCTTCCTTCCACGAATTGAATTAGGGCTTTCAACTGTTATTTGATGTTTTTTTTTTTTGGTTTTTTTAATTCTTTAATTTTTAAATTTTTTTTATAAAAAAAACGGACCAATCAAAAGGTGACACATGGCAAGTGATGGGGTCAACTAACGGTCAACTAACGGACACTGACGGTCAACTAACGAAAATGGCATTTGGTGATATTGTACTAAACCTCAGTGGCATTGGGTGAATTTTGAAAAACTTGATGGCATTTGGTGAAATAGCCGTAGTTTTAAATATATAATATTGGCCGGAAAAAATGGTGATTAAATTAAATTAAAATACAAATTGCAAACATAATACACTATGCTATATATTGGGTATTTGGGGGTGATACCCATGGTTTGAGATCTACCCATCATATATTGTCTAAGATTCCATTATATTTAGTTTACTTGATTATCTAAAGTAGGGGTGGAAGTTCAGATTTCAGTTTGGATTATTGGCCAAACCGAATTCAAACCGAATTATTTCGATTTCGGATTTTTGGAACCGAATCCAAACCGAATTTGGATTGGATCTAATCCAATCTAAACCGAAATAATTCGATTTTAAGAAACAAATCCAATCCAAACCGAAATTTTGTTGGGCTGTCGTTTTGGGCCTAAATTTGGGCCTGTTATTGGACCTATTGTTTTGGCCCTTAAAATGGCCTAATATTTGCCAAATTTAGGAGATAGCATAAAAATAATACAAAAAAAAACAGCCAGACCATTAGAATAAAATTTCAGACATTACAAAAGTCTTTAAAATGCAATAAAAGTCCTCATTCAATTAATAAATTCAACATGGCAGCTTCAACATGGCAACAGATTCAACATGATGGCAACAGTTTCGGCAACTTCAACTCTTCAAACCTTTAGAGTTCATATTGCATAGTACATACACTAAGGCATTAATAATTGAAAGATTTACCATGCATAGCCATATATAAAGAAGTAAAAGAGCTTGAATACATATAATACAACAAACTTAAAATTCAGAACAACATATAAACACCTCAGAACAACATAAAATACAGCAAACTTAAAATTCAGAACAACATACAAACATATAATTTAACTTAAAGTTCCAAACTTAAAATACAGAACAACCAAACTACAACAATCAAATTAAAGTATTAAAGTATGATGTATAATCTAAAAAATAAGTGGCTAACTAACAAGGGCAACACGATTTGGGATTAATTCGAACATAACAACCAACACGATTGGGGAAAAAGCCAGAAAATAAAATTAATCAATGGAATTAATTCGAACATTTGGGAATAGATCTGTTACCTTTGAGTGTCGTATGAGAGAGTGAAAGTGACGGAGGTGTTGGTGAGGGCGCCTCAAGGTGGTGATGCAACGGAGGTGTTCGCGCACAAGGGAGCCGCAAGGTCTGACGCAACGGAGGTGTTTGCGCAAGGTGGTGAGGGCGCCGCAAGTTGGTGAGGGAGGTTCAAACGGAGGTGGTGAGAAAAGGGGGAGAGGAGGTGGTGTCGTGGTGAGGGAGCCGCAAGATTGAACTCAAAAGAAAGGAAAGAGGAAAGGGAAATGAGAGAGAGAACATTACGATTTAGGTTTATATATAAAAGGGAAATGGGCTTGGATATTTGGGCTTTATATAATTCGGTTTGGATTTTAGGTGTTCGGTTTTTTGAGGCCCCAAACCAAAATATTTCGTTTTTGGAGAACCGAATTTGGCTCGGTTTTAGGTTTTAAACCGTATTACTTTCACCCCTAATTTAAAGTAAACTAATTTATCTGAACTTATTCTACCATTAATTTAACATTTTGTAGTACACATACTTTTATATACGTCTGGTTACATGGTGTGGCCAACCATCACAGGTTTACTCGGAACTGTTATAGGGGTTACTCTATTACGGTTATAGGGGTTGGTTAGTAATATAGGGGTTACTCTGTTAGTGTTGTACGTTGTAGGGATTACTTTGTTATTTAAGGGCTTTTCAATAAGTATAATAAGGGGTTACTCTGTCAGTATTATAAGGGTTACTTTGTTTTTTTTAACAAGCGGCCACACATTGTGCCAACTGCACAGAATACGCGTTATTTATAGTATTAACCCTTAGTTAAACTTATTGTTTCTTAAAATTATATTGTTTCATAATTTGTTTTTGGAAAAAGCAGAGAAAATATACAATACTGATCAAAACACACGATGACACTATCCTCAAAAAAAAAAAAAAAAAAACACACAAGGTAATACGAAGTAGAAGTACTACTCCATGAAGCTACTATTCTCTAAACGGCTGGAAAAGAAAGGATAAACTCATACTATCAAGCTCCAAGCTCCTTCTGGAGCCCCTTTATTCTGAAAAAAAGAATGAAGGATAATGAATATTCTTTTTGAATGTTAGTAAGAACCACATATTTAAAAGTTCTTTAATGATTGTTTGTCTCAAAAAAAAAAAAAAAGTCTTTTATTGATTGATCATGATAAATTTCCAAGACATAAGAAAAATCAAATGTTTGGGCTATGTTATGTGTGGTCCCAGGTCCCGTTCACTTCATCTAAAAAATTATATATTCAATAAAAATAATTTCAATTCAGTTAAAAGACTTTGTAATTTCAGTTCGGTATAAATAATTTAAGTTCAATAAAAATCAATAGATTTAAAGAGAAAATATAATAGAGAATCAGTCAATATATATAATTTTAGTTCAGTAAAAATAATTTCACTTCGGTAAAAATAATTTCACTTCAGCAAAAATAATTTTAGTTCAGTAAAAATAATTTCGATTTAGCCAAATTAAGGTGAAGTAAACAAGACCTTAATCTAATTATAAAATAGATAAGTCTCGTGCGATGCACGATTTGAACAAATAAAATTTTCTAATTTTGTTTATTTTTTCATACCAAAATTAAAAACAAAAAAATTCCCAAAACAAATATGTATCAAATATTATAAAATAAAATAAAATAAAAATAGAGCTCACAGAAAAATTGAATGATGATAGGGGTAATTGAGGAAGAAAAATTAAATAATTATTATTAGAGAGAATAGACTTTTTTTTTCTGAAATTGATGTTAATAATAATATAGCTAACCAGAATTTTAATAAAATAAAATAAAAATCATAAAACGATGACATCATTTATTGTTTCGAAGGAAATTTTTTTAATGTCAACTTGACACGTATCTAATTTTAATTAGGATAGGATGATGCAAGCAGTTGCTATTTTGATATTAGTTATAGAAATTTATCAATTTTACTAATGGTAAATTTAACAAGACATCACTTAATATATTCTTACATTAGCATACAACATTAGTCAAAGTGGTACTCTTGTAGAAAAATTGAAGATGATCGGATCAAATCAAATCAAACCAAACTATAGAAAAATAATGCGATATTATTAATATTATCGCATTATTTTTTTATTTTTTATTTTATTATTATTATTATTATTATTATTATTATTATTATTATTATCTCAAAAACAGACAAAGTCATACAACCTACAATAAATTAGTGGGAAGCCGATATACAATCTGGGCCCCCACTCCTCTAGCTATTGCAAAGCCTACCCTAGTGAAGATATTATTATTAATATTATCGCATGTAGTCACTTAATTATTATTATTATTATTATTATTATTATTATTATTATTATTATTAAGAAGCGGATACCATTGATTTAGGTGAATGAAAATATAAATAGAAGTGTACCATTTTTAACATATCTTAATAGTAGAAGATAAAAGACAATAGTTTAACATCTTTAAATTATTACAAGCACATATCTAAATTGGAATATAATTAAAAGAATATTTTATATTTAGTATTATTATTAAATATTACGTATTATTATTCCTTCAAAAAAAATATTAAGTGTTATTATTATGATCGTTAAATATTAGAAATTGTTATTAATTATTATTATTATTAATTATTAATTGATATTATTAATAAATATTGATTATTTTTATTTTGAATTATTAATTATTATTATTATGATTAGTAAATATTAATTATTATTACTATTATTAAATATTAATTGTATTATTATTATTAAATATTAATTATTATTATTATTATTATTAAATATTAATTATTATTATTATTATTAATTATTATTTTTAATCCAGAGCAGAGTAGAGCAGCTCAAAAGAACAGCGCCTTAATCTCTTAATATATACGTAGTATGTGTGAACTAGTATTATGTACATAATTTTATTAATATAGACTCCTATGTTTCTAGGTTATACTAGCAGTTGCAACCTGCAAAATAATTGCATAAAAAATTAGTACTAAGATGAGTAAAAATAGGCCAAAAAAGCACAAAGAAAGCAAACTTAATTTGCTTAATTATTGTTTAATTACTTAAATTAAAATAGTTAAATAATGAAAGCCACATAGTTGTCAAAAACCAATAAGCTTTGCCAAAACCTCGGAGAACCAAGTTCCACTCATAGGGGTAATGTCGTCAATATACAAAGTACTTACTTCAATGAAGTTTCTAAAGATGGTAATATAGCCTGTCACAGAGGGGCAAAACCGCCTTTTTGCATATTACGCGGTTCTATTTAAACGGAAGTTTTCAGTGTTTTTAGTTGTTGTTTGTTCGTCATATTCTACTCTTTCTCTTTTGTTTCTTTTGTTTATTTATATTTTCCTAAATGAAAGATTTGTGATAATAATATCTTAAAAATTATATAAGAACACATTTGGTTGTTGGAGGGTATTGTTGACATTTCAGTAGGCTGATACTGAAGGAAGAATTCAGCGTTTGCAGCGTGTAGGCTGAAATTATATACACTTGTTATTTGGTTATCATGCATAGCAGATTAGCGTGGCTGATGTTCACATCTGTTTAAGCTCTAGATCATTTGACGATTATGCCCTTGGTTATCCTTTAGATTTACTCTTAATTAACTTTATTTTGATACACTCCGTATTTACTACGAGTAATTTATTAACTTATTCGCAAATATTTTGATTAATTTTTTTTTTTTTTTTGGCAAGACTAGCATTTAGGGTGATAAACTCATAATCATAATTATTCATTTGGCTTTATTATTAATATATTAAACCTGCAACCATTTTACCTTATTATGAAATAGTTGTATATAAATACTACAAAACTTATACTTCCTCCGTTTCAATAATATTGCAACAAGAATGATATTACGCATTTCAAAACACATTTATATGTTAAATATCTATAATTATATAAGAGTAAAAATTATAAAAAGTTAATATTGTGTAAGTATTTTATTAGACGAATCTAACAAGATCCTACATGACTTTAACGTATTAAATCATATTATATGGTCAAACAGGAGTGTTGAATTATGCAAAAGTACAGTTAGTATAATATTACTAAAACAGAGGAAGTATGGAAGAATATTAAAAAATAATGGATTGACGTGTTATGGAAAATTGATTTTGACACACCCTTAATTGATTTTGACACACCCTTATGTGAGAAGAGGTGAGAAGAGGATAGAAAACTGTGCTTTCACGTAAAGATGTGCCGGTGTCATGGAAACGAGTTATTAGTCAACTCTGTAGATGATTTATTTTCCAATCTATCCTTAAATAATGAGGGGAATAATCAAACTTATCAGATTTTTCCTTGTTTATTCACTTTATTGTACTGTAGAATTTTGAGATAATTTTATTTTCCAAATAAAAAATGAAAAAAAATAAAAATAAATCAGCAAAACTGGAATCTTGTTTTGTTTTTAAGCGATTCAGTCGATTACAAGTTGGTCAACTCAATTGCTTACATAACTTTGTGGAATAGAAAATACAACTCGTACTACATTTTTAGTATTATTAGTCAGATTACAGTGAACCATTAGTATGAATCTGGACATCTTTCTTGGAAATTTTTTTTTGAGTTTGTCCCACTCGGTTCACCGGAGCTTAGCTCCCACTACATTTGGATTCGACCCGGGTTACACACCTGGCTTATAGTGGATGAGTCTCCCAACAAGCATTTCTGCATTCGGTGAGGTTCGAACTTGAGACCTCCCTTAAACGATATCAAGCTGCTTACCACTTGAGCAAACTTTTATTAGTATCTTTGTTGGAATTTAAGAAGGAAATAATTTCCATTTTATATTATTAAAAGTTTTATTTAATTTTTGGAAAATATACTACTAGTAGGTGTTATTATTTGACTGTAGTTTATGATTATGACAGGTGTTTAAATTCAGAATTATTATTGGAGACTTTTATCTGCAAAGAAATGGTGCATAGGTAATTCGATAAAGTTTTGGTTGACAATCTTTATATGATCTATCGTTAACTTCTTGTCATCTGATATTGTGAGACCTCAAAAGTGTTATTTAATTATTACGAGATTGTCTCATACATGATTTTACTTTGAACTATTGAACATATAACTAAACAACTTAGTGTATGCCTGTATTCGATATTGTTGTTGCTCCCTAGAGTTCATATCACAATTGCATGTTTGGCAAGGATTCCTCTAGCATTTTAGTGATCCCCTGAAAAAGATGTGTAAACTCGACATGAGTCTCCCCCAGGCCACAGCCTATGACTTTGCAAATATTAACATGAGCGACGGTTCACAAATTTACATAGCCAAATTATAAATAAATTAATGTAATACGTAG